TCTCTCTCTCTCTCTCTCTCTCTCTCTCTCTCTCTCTCTCTCTCTCTCTCTCTCTCTCTCTCTCTCTCTCTCTCTCTCTCCTTTTTTTCTTTTTTCCTCTTTCTCCCCCTCGTTTCTCTTTTCTTTTCTTTTCTTTTCTTTTAATTCTTTCTTCTTTTATTTTTTTTTATTTTTTTTTCTTTCCCCTTTCTTTCCCCTTTTTTTCTCTTTTTTTCCCTTCTTTTTTTTCCCCTTTTTTCCCTTTTTTTTGGCTACGAGGGAGTAGTGAATAATAATAAGCAAATGGGGGAGATGCTTGAATTTCTGCTCGCCAGCAGGCTGAACGGCAGAGAGGTCCCCTCGCACTATTTAATCAGTTGGGAACCAACTATGGGAGTCACTCGCTCTCAGACTATAGCCAGGGTACGCGACTTTAGGGGCACCTGGGGATAGATTGAGCCCTTGGACGGATTTTTTGCCGTAGGATTACTACATCAAACGAAGGAACGAGAATGATGGCTTCTAACGAAAGAATGCTATTCCCAGGGATGCGCTACGACTATATTAGTATAGGGCGAGGGAGGCACTATTCATCGGACCACCGTGCGATAATTTGCTTCTGACAAGCGGGTTAGGCGCGGTGCGTTCCGATTTCTGCGCTGCGGAAGAGGCTCGGGAAAAAGCGAACGACATGGACTTCTTTGGGGAGTGGAACCTGGGAGAAGAGCAACGGGACGCGGAGGAAGTGGTAACGCTATCGACGGAGGACACTCTCACGCCTAGACATACCTCGGCCAAGCGTCATGCAGACCGACGCCTCCTGCCCCGCCGACCCCTTCACGACCTGCCCTTCCCCCTCCACTCCTGCCCTGAACACAGCCGCAACCCTTCTCCCTCAACTGGCCCTGCTACCGAATCTCGCCATAGCCGTCGCGCTCTTTGTCGCATGCCTTTCTGAGTCGGTCTTTCTCAGCTTATCTTCCAGGCGCTTCGCTATATTGATAGGGAGTACCATTTGTTTCGCCACCCTCTTCCTCACGAGCTGCTGTTGCCTATTTTTTTAGCTCGGCGCTAATCGTGGGGTGCGTGGTTGAGCAGAAGGGGTAATTGCGAG